ACCAACCCCAGGGCAGCAAAGCCGGGCAGCAGGGGTGGGGTTGGTAGGTGCCAGGCTCTGGGCCAGAATAACCCGTGGAAAAGGGATCCCGGTGCCTCTGGTCAGCATCACTGACTGGGCGGGTAAAAGTCTGCTCCGCGCTGCGGCCGGGCTAGGGCAGGCAGCTCCCACAAACCACTGGCACGTCCCTCTGCCTCACAGGCGGACACCCCACAAGTACTCTGCTGCCAGGAGCCACCTGAGGCAAGCACTGCCTGGACCCTGCACCCCCAATCCCTTCCCCGACCCCACTCACTTGCCCCAAGCCCCTGCCCCACCCCAGAGCCCCTCCAAACCCGTATCCCAGAGCCTGCACCCTCTCCTGCACCTCAAGCCCTTACCTCAGCCCAGAGTCCCTCCACACCTAACCTCTCTGCCAAACTAGTGATATGAATGACTAGTCAACCATCTGATAAGCAAATGCTTATTACTCCCTCCACTTTGCTGCCCCTCCCCTTTGCTGCCTCTATCAGAAAGAGGCATCAAGGGAGGATGAAAGAACAGGGTACAGTACTTGAAAGTGGCAGTTCCGCATGGAGCTTTGGGTCAGGCTCTTCCCAGTGTTTCAAAGAGGCAGCTGAGTCCCCGGCTCTATTCACTGCTGCCATCTTGAAACACTGGGAGAAGCCTGATATCAGGCTCTCTCAGCAGCATCTCAAAGCTGCAGCGCTGCATGGAGCCTGGGGCCAGCGGGGGAGTTCTCAGCTGATCCTGGGCTCCACACTGCATTGCCACTTTGAAACGCCATGTGAGCCTGACACTGGGCTCCTGCAGCGTTTCAAAGTGGTAGCACTTCACGGAGCCCTAGGGCTGTTGCTACACTTCAAGGGCAGAGATGCCCTATTGACTAGTAAGCAAAATGCATTGACTATTCGATGAGTTTGTTGCCTGCAATTTAACATCCCTACTCAGAACCCACACCCCTCAGTCCCAGCCCACACCCTGCACAACTCATCTCTATCCTTATCCCTATCTATCCCAGAGACTGCATCTTTAGGCAGAGCCCACAACCCCCTCCACAACACAACAGCCTGTCCCAGCCTGGAGCCCATCCACAGCCTGAACCCCTCCTTTCTGACCACACCCCAGAACCCACACCCACAGCCCAGAGCCTGTACCCACCCCCATATTCTCTCTCTTTGCCCCCCTGCCATATTCTGAACCCCTCATTTCTGGCCCACACCTCCAGCCCAGAGCCCATATTTCCCAGATCTCCCTATACCCCTGCCCTAGTCTGCAGCCTCCTCTCACTCTCCAAACCTTCATTTCTGCCCCCAGCCTGGAACCCACGCACATCCCGCTTCCTCTTTCCCCCACTAGGGGCACAGGCAGCTTCTGTGGGCCCCTGGGCAAAGTGTGTGTAGGG